AATTACTATCTAGGTCAATGATGAATATAAAAGGAAAAAATACAATTATTTGCACATAGGCTTCACAAACGTAGCGGTAAAACCTTTTACCAGAACGTGATGAAATAACTGTTGTTAGAGACTGTAGGCATAGAAGATTTACAGATTTTTTTATTAAGAATAGTAGAATCCAACTCATGTGATTGACCAATTTATTTTAATTATTATCTAAATTTCTCTGTTAAATATATTAAAAGTCCTAACGTTAAAACCTTAAAACACAGTTTTTATATGGATTTGAGATTGCGAAATATTGCCATAGTTTACAGAGTTTGCTGCAAGGTTATGAACACTCCATCCAATTGTAAAAAGAATAGATATTAGAGGACACATAGTATTCTTCCAAAATAGTATTCTTACAAACTAATATTGAAAAAAGAAATGATATTGGAGAGAGAAGGGGCGTTTTCTAGTCTTCTCCTGCGCCGCCATTGGAGAGAGAGAGAGGGACAGGAGCATGCATGACCTTCAGAGAGAGGGGGTTCCTCACTTCCTCATTCTAGTGAGAGAGAGGAAGAGAGCATTTTGTAGAGTTTTAAAAATAGATGGGGGTAGTGTTACTTTATTGTCACCGGTAACTGGCTTTTGAGTGGGTTAGCCGGTGATCCCTGCTCCCAATCTCAAGATGGAGAATCGGTTTTAACGGTGATCTTGAGGGCACCTATGCCATTGGGATGTGGTAGGGACTCTCATATATATATATATATATATATATATCCTATAACTACCCCTAAATTAGATTTTGTTCGAGGGGAGAACTAGATAATGTACTCCCGCGGGAATTTAGCATCTTTTGACCATACATATCAACCACCCAACACATAGGGACTGTTTGTCTCCGTTCTGTTATAATGTGGACACCAGAGCAACAAAAACAGTGGAAAATGAATTAAAAAGAAAATAAAGGGAAAACATTTTTTTTTTTCAAAAATGAGAGACAGAGGGACAAGAAAAGAAAGCAAAATCAAAACTATTCAAATAAATGACATTTTTTCCAAAATAAATCCTTTATTTCTATTTTGTGAGCAGGAAAAAAAAAACGACTGGTGTTGTCCTCCATGTTTTCAGGGATTAATTTATGAATAAAAACTAAGACCCAACATCATAGGCCGCAAGGAAAAAGGGAAAAACAACTCTTTTATATTTGATATAACAGTTACATTATGTGAAATCAGGTAACTGGGAATGTGCAATCTACTATGTTTGAAGTCGGAAAGATATTTTCTCAAGCTTTGTACAAAGAACAAATACACCCCTAGCTACCCCATTTCACATCTTACGGCCTGAGATGATTGTGACCTTACTCCTATCAAAGGTAACTAATCATATTATATACAGTCCCCAATTATAAAGACCTATGACTTATAAGGGGTCAAATTCTTGATATGCTTCTTGAGTATGGGTGAAGACACTCGAACATCTTCACATATCTCTGATGAAATACTTCTACCCATGCTAGCATGATCCAAGAGTTGAGCGATGGGGCCACTTCTCCCCACCCCCCCTGCAGTGTCAAAGGAAGGGGTTCACATAGAGACAAGTGTGCTCCAGCATAAACATATGTTATGGACTAACCACACAGGGTAAAAGACCCAATGACGAGTACTTTCTCGATCCAAAATTTTGGGATCTACTTTAGAATCACTATACGTCTTTACATAAAACAAAATTCAGAATTTGGGTTTCTAAACCAAAATTTGGACAGCCTCCATTCATTCTTGAGGTTGGTTACTAGGTTGAGGAAGTTACATCCCTGAAATTTGAGGTTCCAAATACACTCCTACATAAGGTTTTTTTCCCGAGGGAGTGCACATCCACAAGAGCATACAATATTTCCAGTATAAAAATTATTGCAGGGAAGAGTGCCGAAAAATTCCATATGGGGGAAACAAAGCCAAAGTGATAAAGCATGGAGACCTGAGAATGTGCATAAGAGAAGGCAGATGATGAACTTGGGATGAAGGGCAGTGTACATTTGTAGAGGGAAGTGTGAGCACTAGGACAGACATATTAGTGCACAGATATATGTACTGAATGTTTACTTTTCCCTTCAATTTTCTAGGACATTATGCATGCAATGGCTCAGATTGAGGCCAATAACTTTATTCTTCTAGTAATACTTGGAGTTCTAGTAACACTTGAGTTAAAAGGAAATCAAAGCGAATCGACCCAAATGGAAACCATACATCAGGGAACTCTAACCTACGAATTTTAGGTTTTAAAAGGTTTGAAGCCCTAGAAATTCTCAGGTCTTTGATGCCTGAAACCACAATGTGAAAATTGTAACCACGAGAGTGACAACGAGCTGCACATATTATGAGGATCCATTAGTATGCATATGGCATCTGTGACCACTAATCAACATAGTTATGAAGTTTAGCTTTCTATGTTAATTTTTTTTTGAATCAACAAAAGAGGTGAGGTCATTTGATCTCATAGACAGACAGATTGGCACAAATTGGATGTCATTCTAATAAGTTGTTGGGAAGCAACCCAAGAGGAAAGAGTTCTGAAAGAACTACTTAAAAGTTCTTGATAATTGGTTCAATAGTTTTTATTTAATCTACAGATTCAAGAGTGGGATTTTCATGAGTTCTGGACCTTGGTGTCGCCCATTGAAAACATGAAGCTGTACGCGTGTATTACTTTCACAACTAGACCTGTCATTTTCCAAAAAACACCAGCGTAGCATAAGAGCCTAACAAAATCAGAATTGACTTTGCCATCAGGACTGTCAAGGCCACATAATGATTAAATGTGTTTGGAGAGATTCCAACTTCGTGGTTAAGAGGTTGTCGTATATTAGGTTGTATTCAGGTATTGTAAGATCTTAGAGGTCTTAAAAATGATAATGATGACAATTGACAAATGTCCGTAAATGACTTTTCAGTGTATATAAAGTAAGAAGGGAAAGGTGACTTACTCCAATTTCCAGTTGCAATTCATGGGTTCTGTAGGACAGGCCAAGAATGGATTCAAAGAGGAGCTCAAAATGTGAAGGTCTTTATAATTTTACAGACCCCTCCTCTTGATGTCTCATAAATGCAATGGCTGTGGGGGTAATA